ACACATGAGCATGAGAATGTGCCTGTGATAGGCCCTGAGTGAACTAATTATGGTTTGTGCCTTGGCTTGTGATTGGTTGATTAATTAATCAATTAGGAGCATGGGAAACAGCTGGGTGCTGAACTCACTGAGGCCCATAAAAGGAGAAAATCCAGGAGCGTGGAGGTTAATAGGAATTGTTGGTGCTATTTTGGGTGGAAACGTCTAGGTCCTGGGTGGAATATAGAAGCTCCCTTGTTGAATATGTCTTTGTAGCTGAAGAGCAGGCTTTGAGGTTTCCTTTAATCACCAACTTAAGTGATGATCTTGTGACAGAGACTGGCCAGGAAACAGATGTTAATTTTGCTACTTTGCTGCTGATTATCAGAATATATAACGCATGTGAATATCTGTGAAGGGTGGAGTCAAATAGGCTGATCTGCAGATATGCCAGTTACTAGCTTTTAGATGCCTGAGTAAAACGAAGTTGATCATTTAATATCAAACTACTAGTATAGTACATGGGTATTAACCTATAATGTACTGGCGAGCAGGCTCTGAATCTCTGGAGCGTTTCAATGTGTTTTGAGCAGGTGCACAACTCTCTCTGCTTCCGGCCATCGTAGTCCAGGGTACGAGTGAGTTGATGATCCTTTACAAATCAACCAGCCTTTAGGTCTCTTATTACATCCAAATGTTGCCCTTTTTTTTCCCCCCCAATGGGAACGCAACACACACAACCCTCAGTGCTGCTGGAACCCAAACTGCAGTGTGCCTGAGTGCCAGTAGAAGGCCTCGCTTACCCCACCTTCACTGTGGCTTTGCCCAGCAGAGGCTGATGTGCTGGTCTAACTGGTCATATCAAAGTAAAGGACAGGAGTTTTTTTTTTTTTTTTTTTCCCAGCAGAGGCTGATGTGCTGGTCTAACTGGTCATATCAAAGTAAAGGACAGGAGTTTTTTTTTTTTTTTTTTTTAATTTTTAAATTTTTTTAAATTTATAAATTTTTTTCCTCCCCTGCTTGTGAATAAGCCCACATCGGCATCACAGCAATCAAAGCATGTCTGTAGTGGGCTGGCATTTATATGACGAATCAATCAGCTTTAAAATGACAGAATCTTTGACTTCCCAATCAGCTTTCCTGTGGCAATCCTTTGTTTGACCAGTCAGCTTTAATATGAGAGGGGCCACCTCACCAGTCACCTTTAATGAGACGTAATTCGTTCATGTAAGGAACTGACCGGATGCCGCTAAGGCCACAGTGTGCTGGATGTGAAATAATCTGCTCTGTGCTCGCAGGCTCCCTGCTGCCTGAGAGTGGATTAGCGTAGCTGTAAATCGTGAGATTATCAAACCGCTTACGCTCGTCATCACGCGTGATCCTCCTGCGTACGTGAAGAGACCTCGATGCTCTGTGTTTGAATCCATTGATCACTGCTTATGTTAGCGGTCAGAAAGCCAGCCGCGGGTCCGGGAATGCCAGCCAGACCGATAACTGACCACTAGCTGACCGCTAATTGACCACTAATCACGTTAAAAGCCCAGGCTGCGCCAAACAAGACAAATGTGTTGTTCGTGTCCTACAGCGGTTTCGGGCACCTTGTGTTCTGACGCTAACGGACCGCGGATCTCCTGGGCATTGCTCCCAGCTAACTAACTGACCCTTTTCACATGGTGGGTTAGGCCCACTCCTTGTTTCCATGGTACCGGGGGGGCGGGGCTATATGCTGTCACTACAGGCCACACAGTTACCCTAGCCCACATTTAGCTATTGCTCTGTTTCAGTAACCCACTTTTGTTTTATTTTCTCATTGTTATTTTTTTTTCCTCAATAAGAGGAGAACAATTAAATCCTGCCAGTGGGACTGGGAGATTGGAGATACTCATTAAAATGGTAGCCTGGATGATACGACCAAAGAAATAATCAACAGAATCATCTATAATTATCTTATTAGAGTAATGATGAGCAATAATTCAACCTTTTCCCATGAAAAGACTTGATCTACTTCTATAATTAGCAGTGAGATGACACCCCTAGCTGCTGTCCTGTGACCTCCTCTGTTTTTTTCAAGCAGATTTGTCTTCCAGACACTGACAGACTCAGTGTGTTTTTATCATTGTTCTTGCATAACTAGTTTTCCTGAAGGAGTAGGAATTTGATCTGAGGAATGCCCGGGTCCTTTACACTGATCTGCGGAACGCCGGGTCCTTTACACTGATCTGCGGAACGCCAGGTCTTTCACACTGATCTGGGGAACTCTGCGTCCTTCACACTGATCTGCGGAACCCCGGGTCCTTCACACTGATCTGCGGAACNGTCCTTCACACTGATCTGCGGAACCCCGGGTCCTTCACACTGATCTGCGGAACACCAGGTCTTTCACACTGATCTGAGGAACGCCGGGTCCTTCACATTGATCTGAGGAACGCCAGGTCTTTCACACTGATCTGAGGAACGCCGGGTCCTTCACACTGATCTGNCTGATCTGAGGAACGCCGGGTCCTTCACATTGATCTGAGGAACGCCAGGTCTTTCACACTGATCTGAGGAACGCCGGGTCCTTCACACTGATCTGAGGAACGCCGGGTTCTTTACACTGATCTGCGGAACGCCGGGTCCTTCACACTGATCAGCGGAACCCCGGGTCCTTCACACTGATCTGCGGAATGCCCGGTCCTTCACACTGATCTGAGGAACACCGGGTCTTTCACACTGATCTGTGGAACGCTGGGTCCTTCACACTGATCTGTGGAACAGTGGTTCCTTCACACTGATCTGTGGAACAGTGGTTCCTTCACCCTGTGTAGCTGCTGTCTAACCTAAGAGTCCCCTGCTCTTTTCCCATCTGCAGTAACGGGCTCTGTGATGTTGTTTAAAGCGTCTCCCAGAAGCAGCTCAGTGAGAAGCGATCCAAGACTCAGAGAGCTGCTGGCTGCTAGCTAAAATGACCGCGATGGACGTGGGAAAACAAAGCGGCCGGTGAATGATAGCATCTTCATGGGAAATGAGGCTGGAAAGATGTGGGCCAGTAACAGGAAGAAAGCTGAGAGCGATGGGGTGGGATTCCTGCAGCTCCCCCGGCCATCGAGTTAGTGCCGTTTCCCCATTTTTTCTCACCATCCCTCAGCACTGTGGGTCTCCATGCTCAGCATAATGACCAGATTAGCCTCCAGGCCTGTGGGTCATGTGCCCCTAAGGACCCCAAGCTGCCCCACAGATGCCTGACTTAACTTTACTCTTCTTTTTTGGGCAGCATCCCAGCTTTTTTTGCTGCAGACCCCAGTGGATGTGACAAAGTGAAAGTGCCTTTCAAAGGGGCCGCTGCCTCCTCCTCTCTAACATTCACGTTACGCGACTCTGATGGAAATCTTCAGTCTGGTCACCGTCGTCCTCGGCCCCCTCATGGCCACGATCAGCTCTAATTAAACCCTGGGCAAGAACATTTCGTCCCACGGGGTGGCTGCGATCTGTCTTTACAGAGCCGCCTCCAATTTCAGGACTTCTCGGTTACCTAAATGCACGCTGTCTTTCGTTAACACCATTCTGTTCACACCACTGCCGTCAAATTCAACTGCCCAGTTCACCAAAAACAAGAGAAAACGAATGAATAATCATGTTCATTTCAAAATAGCAGCGATGAGTGAGCGGTTTACAGCCCGAGGAGTGAGAATGAGGGATCAGGCCGGGCCGCTTAAATCCGGTAGATTACCAAGCCATCGAGCCAATGACAAGTATAGATCGAAATGGCTCAGATCAAACACTGAACTCCCGACGCCAGAAAAGATGCCAGCCTCAGCTTGTTTAACACCCAACTTGCCCAGATGGGACCCCGTCGTACTGAATTTCTCCTGCTACTTAAAGAGTTTGAATGAAAATGGCTCCGCTGGTTCGATCATGGCCGGTATTTTAATTTCCAATTGCTTATTTGACGAGGTCCTCCACACCTAAAATTAAAAAAAATACCATCACGCAGCCGGCCTTCTGCAGCGGTGTGGAGTCTTCGGTTCAGCTGAGTGTTTTTAAAGAGAGTTATTAAGGGCGAGAAGCCAGAACATTCCGGCAGTAAATAACAGTAATGAGCAAAGGCTTTTCTTAGCATGACTGGGTGGTCCAGCTGCATTCAGCAAACATGCCACTCACGCTTCTAGCGATGCCCCATGTATCGGCCTGGTCGTTCCCTCCCGCTATGCCTGTCACCATGACGACAGTGATCTTGCTGCCATGTCTACTGACCGAGCCTTCCATGGTATTCAAGATCCCGTGTGTCGACGTCGTCATGCTCCATACATCTATAGGATGAAACTGACAAAACATTGTATCTATACCCATGCATGTTAAATACTGGACTCTACATTTAAAATACAGCTCTGGAAAAAAAATAAGGGACCACTCTATATTTGTAAAAAAAAAAAAAAAAATTCTAAATCTTTGTTTAATTCTGGCTCTGCAGGCTGAAGGCTACACTCTTTCCAGGCTCAAAGTTTGTAAGACAGCAGTAGAGAAGAACAAAGTGAAGCAGGAGACACTGGGATTGACCAAAAACCAGTCAGGATGAGGGCACAAGTAGCTTTCTAATGTCAGAGATGGCCGTCAACTTATCCGACATTGCCTCATAAATCGGAGGATGACCTCAAGTGACCTTCAAAATGAATGGGAAACATTAAGTGGTGTGAAGTGCACTGTTAGGATAGTTCATAACAGGCAAGGGAGAAGCCCTTCATCAATCAGCAGCAGACAAGAGTCAGGCTGGAGTTTGCAAAAAAATGTATATTTTACACAAGCGCATACCCCTAAATCGTGAAATGAGTGAAACTTGCTGTAGTCTCTCTGTTTTCCAGAGCTGTATATTTTTATCTTGATTCTTGTTCATGTATTTGAAACATATTTTCTTCAGATCATTTCCATACAGTATTGAAATACGTGTGGTTTGGAAAATACAAGAACATATTTGGGGAATTTATGCGAAGCGTGTAATTTGTCACTCGAGGGTAACTAGACTTAATAAAGAAGCGTCACACAGATTCTACATGGAAGATCAAACAGGAAGAACATTTATTTAACAATGAGGATGTTTCAACAGAGCGCAGAAATGTACTGGGAATTCAATTTCAACTCAGTCTGTCATAAATAGTTTAAATATATGCAATAGAAATGTTTACACGATAATGTTGGGTACACAATGTCATAGTTCGCGCCCAAAACGCCGTACGCCTAGCGCTCTGCAAACAGTTACAATCCACAAAACCACACACATTATACTTATAATTTATAGTCTGATTTTGTGACATCCTTTATTGCCGTAGGTGTTAAGCTCATTCATCCACTGTTAAACCCCATTGTACACTTCCTGGCACATTTTCATCTAAAAAAAAAGAATGATTCTTTCCCTCTGTTCTTCCTCCCTCGATTTGATATCGTTTTAAGATGTTCAAAATTAAAAATGCGCCCCCTATAGGGGAGGCCGCAGTGCCACAGTACACCACGCTGAATGTTGAACATGTTACAGTAGCAAACTGCTAAACAAAAAGGCTCATTCAGAGCCTCACAAAATATCCATACAGCAGTCAAACGATACATTATATGCATTTAACATCACAAACATCAGTGATACACAGGGTATTGCTCAATTTTCCAGCCCCCGACCCACCCGCCCCTTAAGTCCGTATTGTGTGGTTCTTCAACATGCAAAATGGAGCTCCCACAGCGCCATCTAGCTGTGGGAGGTCAAACCTCCTGGCCACCCTCTAGGACTTGGGTTCCTGCTTCTTCTTCTGGAACTTTCTGAACTGCGACTGGATGGCGACGGCGGCCTTCTCGGTCTCCGGGGCGTCCATGTCGATGTCAAAGTCCTCTGGGACGTCTTTCTTGGAGTCATCTACATAAACGGAGCATTTATAAATGCAAACATATTTAATTTACATTTAGTCAAAACTAATAGAAATTATTCAGAAAAGGATACAAGTTAAGGGATTATGCGTAATGCTAATTTAAGGGTCTTAAAAACACGCTAACTGGTCTGCTGTAAATTTTAGGTACACAGTTGCAAAGCAAGTATTGATACTATATTTAAAGAGCCACAATGATTCAGCTCCCGTCCAAAAAAAACACCATAAATGACTATCACACCCTCCCTGCTGCTTTCCTGCCACCGCCGGCCCCCAGACGGCCGCCCGTTTATGTCCCGGGTCTCCGTTCCCAGCCTGGTGTTCGTTCTCTGAAGCCCATAAATGGGCATCTTTAACGTTTCATAGGCGCGAGGCGTCCAGCCTCTGGACTCGGTCCAGGATCCCGCCGCTCCTGCCTCAGGCAGTGACATGTCCTTGCTCAGCAAACAACACGTTAACGAAAACACCAGCCTGGGGACCGTTCAAAATGCAGGTGTTTGCACGGGGATTAAGTAATTAACTGTGATTGTAATTGTGCCAATTCCCAGCGATGTTCCCCTTGACGGCTGTATTCCTGGTTCTGAATTAAATGCACCAGCTTGCTGCCCTGGCGGCCCCTGGTGCTCGGCACCTTGGGCCCCTCGAAGCTCAGTTCAGGAACCTTGGGCCCCTCGAAGCTCAGTTCAGGAACCTTGGGCCCCTCGAAGCTCAGTTCAGGAACCTAGGAGGCGTTACACAAACGGAAAGTGTAACTCCCCAGTCCATATTCTGGCTGTCTGATCAGACCGTTCTCTCGCCTTCTCGTTCGCTCCTTCCCTCCTTATCTTACCAAGTTCTGTCTAACTGCACCAGTGTCACGTGACCCACAATCGCACGCACATCCAACCCGTCCGTCATCCATAATCTCTCAGCTACCTGACAAACTTCACCATATGCAAACGGCCAATAAACGCGAAGCTTTAGTCCGTCAGTATCCGTCATGCATTTATTGTTGGGGATTAGCGTCCCGCTGATTAAAGCTGAAATTCGCGTTCCTGTCCCCCGTTTTACGATGCAGTGCTGGGAAAAGCGCAGCCTCCCTCTCCATCTTTTATTTATGCTGCACATCAATATTTCAGCTTGTTTCCACTTTCCAGAAAAGAGCTGCTTTTTCATGCGTGGGGGTTTTTT